ATAGAAATCATCCCCTTCATAAAAAAATCATCCCTTTCGTCTGCATTACACAATCCTATATGTTGTTCTGAATTGAGAACATCACGTTCTCTGCAAATGAAAAATCACCTCATGATACCCGATCGATGATTCATCCCGGGTATATAACAACGTTAAGAAGAAAGCGATCGTTTAAAAACAAAACCGCTATGTTCGATTCGATTCGATGCAATCAGTTGAAAGTTTCCATTCGACAATTTTATTTCTCATAATTTCAAGGATTCGAAAATGAAACGATAATCTTCAAGTTGAAAAACTCGAAACAAACGGGACACGTTGCCGCTCTGAATAATGAATAATTACAACCTTCATTGCCGCATTATAGTTATTTACACCGATCTTACACTTTCATATTGCACCACATTTCCAGGTACTCGAATTCCGACTCGTTCCATGCTCCAACCGATTCTATCGAATACGAAGCTCCCCTACACGCCCACGAGAAACGTTCTAATACCTTGATGACGTTCAATGAATTCAAACGGGTTCAACTGTGAGCTCGACCGACGAGGGAACTCGCGTTTATTCGAGAATAGAACTTGAAGAAGAAAACTAAGAGATATTGGAAGAATTCTATGAGAAAATTGTGAGAAGTCAAGTTTTTTTGGATTTTAACGTGTTTGAAGTGGAAGTATCTTCTCAAATCTATTCTTCAGGAATTTTTATATAAAACGAAAAATCTTCGAAGAATCATTTCCAATCAAATTTCACAAACAGAAAATCTTTTGAGATTTTTATAAAAGGTGAAATTTTTCTGATTCACTAAATATTTATAATTTTTTTAATTTTTGAATAATGGAAATATGATAGATTTCTTTATGAAATTTTTTTTTATGAAAAACACGTTGCTTGAAAAAGAACAAAAGTTTGAAGAATTGAAAGGAGATTTGATCTCTGAATTAAGAAAAAATATATTCGAATATTTTGCATTTCTCTTTATTCTCAAAATATTTCATTGAGTTTGAACTATGAGATATAGAATTTATGGATAATTTGAAAAATTTTATATCACCATTGATATTCTATTATACTTCAGTATTTCAAACTTTGACTTGGAGAAGAATGATTTTCGTATTTCCGATGCGAATAATTTCTAATTTGTCAGAAAAAAGAACATAATCTTAAATATTGGATCTCGAATTTATTGAGATATCTTAAAGATATCTGAAAGATCTTTTTAGCTGACATGGTTCGTATAATGTGATCTTCGTCGTCTTCTTTATGAAAGTAAAATCCTAAGTGGAGGGTATATACACCTTTTACCCTTTTTTCTGCTTCACGATTTTTCAAATGCTTACTTTACAGTAGTAAGAATATTAATGATATTTTTTCTTTTTACTATCTATAAATATTATAACCAAACAATGAAATAAGACATTAAATTTGAATGTTAAAAGTGAAGAATTTTTATTGAAAAATGTAATAATTATTAAAATAATTCTTGATATTGAATAGAATTAAATAAATAAAAGTTAGATAAAAATTTTTATACTCTAGAAGAAAAAGTATTCGTCATACTTTAATTTTCTTAAATTTTATAAAATTGAGATCTAAATAATAAAAATAATGAAAAAAATGAATGTATAATGTAATAACAAAAAAAAAAAAAAGAATTAAATCTATTAAAATTTTCTTATAGTAACTATAATGTTAGGAAATAGAATTCCAAGATGTAAATTGACTAAAGAAAAATCACAAATGAAATTTAAAATCAATATTTTTTTGATGAATTAATATTATTTTCATTTTCAATTAAATGTTAGATTTTTCTTTTCATAATTTACAAATGTTAGATGTAAATGTTAGATGATAAAGCAAGATAAAAAGAAAAATTTGCCGATTTTCCATCAAATATATTTTTTATAAATACTTTCTTTCTTTATTATCTATTGGTACTAAAAAAAAAAAGCAAATGGAGGGTAGAGCTTTCATGATTATGTGAACCAGATTATGAAAATCAGAGCGAGCCACGTAGGTTAAAAGCTCGTTGTGGCGAGCGATAATGATGTCACTTTTATTAGGCTCATCAGGGTCGAAGCATTCTCGACAGGGGATCTACTATTACCTAATAATCGACACGATCATATCATGTCTCTTGTAAGTTGTCTATAGCAAAATTTGCATTCATCCATCGACAATTGGCATATATCACACGTCTTGTATATAGTTTCCTTTTTGAATTGATTTTTAATAATATCACCAAAACCTTATATAGTTGCATATGGTTTTTCAATCAATTGATCGATTTTTGAATTTTCACCTAGTTAATTTATATATATATTTATAAATTAATAATTTCGTTCTCTATTTTTCTCACCCTTCTTTCTTTTGTTTCAATTTTTTAAAATTAAAAAAAAAATGATATATAAGATAATTAATATAATTATATAATTTGACCAATCCATTTATGAAAATTTTTCTTCCTTTATTAAATATTTTATAATTTTTTAATTTCACATTTTTTAATTTCTTTTCTTTTTAATCTCATTTAAGTACTGTAATTTTAAAATTATACATTGTATTATAGTTGTTAATATAATTATATAATCGTAGGTACAATGTTAAGTCTCTTCAGATAATCAATTCTTCAAGGTATTGTCTGATTCCTTAATTTTTTATTCTTTATTTTTTGTAATTTATAATTTGCTTTTATATTAAGTATATATTAAATGAGTGATATAAAATATATATTATAAAAATATACTATAATTTATTTCAATTTAAATATTGTTGATTCATTGTCATAGATGGTGCTATGTAATTAGATTCGTTTTAGAATATTTCGTTTTATCATATTATTTATTTCATTTTATCATACTATTTTATTCTAATAAAATTTTTTTTTTTTTATGTATATATCGACTCATATATTTATATCACTTTATATCATTTTTCACAATGTATCATTGCCTTTTTGGCAAAATTTCAATATATTTCAATAGAATTTTCAAATAAAATTCAATAATATTATAAGAATAATATTAAATTTTTTAGACTCCAATTTTTATTTCTTTTTTTTTTTTACATTTGTGCACTTTAATAATATTTAAATTAAAGCAATATTTTTATCATCAAATAAAATCAAATAAAAATAAAAATAAAAATTAGATTAAATTATAACATAGTAAGATTATATCTTATATTTCATTTTCACTTCTTCAATTTTATTCATTATTAAGTTGTTTTGATTGTTTAATTTAAATTTAAACTAACAGTTTTAACATATTTATTAATTTTTATTATATTTGATCAATTTTAATTTTATTATATTTGTATTTTTGTAATTTTATTGTATTTTATTATAATTTTATTTTTAATCTTTCATAAAGATTTGGATAAATTCCATTATCCTGCCAAAATATGGTGCAATAATGCCAAATCTTTTATATTTTGCATATAGTGTATCTCGATTACGGTACATCACTCGTCAAACGTTATCCTATGCATCAACGTTAGACGTTTGTACTTTAAGATTTAATAGAAACATGTATAGTTCGTATAGGACAAAATATATGTAATAGATACGCAAATATCATGGGTGCAGGAAGTGCGCGTGTGCTAGGGAAATTTCCAAGTTCACCAGCGCACCAGGCACCTCCATCGATCTGCCGGTACGCGGTGCTATTGTTACATTTACGACATTCACTTTTATTCAAGATTCAACGGGTATGAGGTATTGACCCCTGAACTTGACCTATACTGAAGACATATCTTAAACAATTACAGAAATAGACAAGTTTTTCTTTTAAAAAGATACCGGGCACTTAATATTCTTGGATGATTCTCATGATGTCGTTTATTCAATTGGAAACCACGCAATATTTTGAAATCTATAATATTTCACAATTTTTCTTAATATAATTAATAGACTATGGTCTATTAATTATCTAGTCAAAAATCAAAAATTATTCTTATTTTTATTTTTATACATTATTATTAATCTATTTTCTTATCTAAGAAAATATAATAGAATGTTTATGATATCCTTCACATAAATCGTTAAATTTTATAATAGTAGCATCATTCGAACATTTTATTTTCCGTTTGCCAGTTAAAATATAACATTCCGAAAGAATGATTGTAACAATTTAAAATGTATAATGATAAAAAATTGCTATAATTTCATAATTCTTTCTTCAATGAAATTTGGTCAAGACCACTGAGATTCAATAATCAGAATAGAGAAAGAAACAATCATACTTACTATTGCATTATCTTAATCCAAATAATGCGAGCGTCCAAATGGCATCAAGGAGATGGGGATTACGCGCTATGGCACTAGATCTTGTCCAAAGATTTATTCTGTATCGTGTAATAGAACGAACGTTACAAAATATTTCTCCAAGTACGTTTATAATTTTTCACGTATGTCAATTATTCGTCGTAACAATCGTCGAAAAATATGTAAGCACACTACACCCGCCAAGGAAGCGGTAAACCGAATAACTGACGCTAGCGCCGAGGACCCACGATGTGTCCCACCCTCCCTGCTTCCTCTGCGCGCTCACTATCTAATTCGATCTTCGTCTCTCTCGTATTGCTTTCGCGTGTTCTCCCTCTTTTCTTCGTATTGCTCTCTCAAATCTACCTCGTCGTGGTGTTTCCAGCAGTGCACTACTAGCGCGCCGAACCGCGATGCCGCAACGCGTGCTTGGAGCACACTTTGAGACCGCGCGCGCCTCCCAGCTGCCGTATCGACCCCTCCCCATTGGATGACACATCCTCCAATAACGAACGTCGAAAAGGATTACGTCACTTTGGTATTATTGACGCCAACCATCCGGCAGCATCGCAGTGCTGGATTCTTCAGGGTGTACCTTTTCTCTAATAGGGGATGCAAGAATTCTCAAAGAGTAGTCAGCTACATGAAAGTTTCTTTCCGTCTAAAACTCACAGGGAATCTCTATCTTCGTTAAAAAAAGGATACTTGCAACTTACTACGAGCTTGAATAGCATGGTTTGTACCATTTTTTAGGTTATCTTCCTTTTAACATATAAATTTTCAATTGACTATTTATGAAATTAAAAAAATTGAAAAATTCAAATAAATAAAAAATTAATGTATATTTATTATTAAAAATAAAATATTAAACTTTTTATATTTATAAATTATATTAAATTCAATATAAATATAAAAATATTAATTATATTAAATTATATTAAATTCAATATAAATATAAAAATATTAATTTCTTTTTCTAATTAATGTTATAATTTATATAAATTTATATATATATATTTAAAATTTTCAATGTTATATAAAATTTGATTCATTTAAAATATTTTATATAAATGTTATATACATTTCATTTCAATATTTTTTAATAACAAATTTCATATTTTTAATAATAGAAACTATGTAATTGCTTGTATAGATACGTCACTGGTAAATACTCGAACTTTGTTTTTTGTATTTCTTTTTTTATAAGCGTTTCTAAAATTATGACAATTGAAAAAAAGTTAATAAAAAATAAATATTTTAATTGAAGAAAAGTATAAATATATTCATCTTTTATACAATATTTATTTATATTTAAATGTCATATAATTTTTTTATAACAAATTTTTTTTAATACAGGTACATTATGTAAGAGACAGTAACAACTATTTCAAACTATTTATTTTATTTATATATATTTACGTATTTATGTTCATTGTATTGTTCATTATCAGCATATTGTACATATATTGATAAGTTTAATAGATAAGTTTATTTTTGCACAAATTAAAAGTAATAGATATGGATTTTAAGATATGGATTCTTTTTAATTAATACAACGTGCTTAGTTTTCGTCTCGCAACAAATTTTGAGTAAGCACGCCGATTTATGAGTGATAAAATGTTGAATACGGAGAATGTCGTCACCGACTCGGAATTTAAATCCTGCGACAGTGTGACAACGTTAAGTAGGTGCTCTCAACCCTTTACTCTTTGCTGACTGGTTGACACGCCGGCCAACAGGGTCTCTCATTTGTAAATTTTCTGTCGTTGCAAAATCAGTCGTTGAACTTACCTTTGCCTCTTGTGCGAATGTCAAGTACCGAAGTCGCGACATTCGTCTGAAGCTTCTTTCCATCAAGATATTTCCTGGTTGACTGAAAATATACATTTTACTCATTTCTTTAATTCAAAGTATTATCATTTTCTTTTTTTTTTTTTATTATATTTTTAAATTTGTAAAATTGCATTTTATGAATTCTACAGTTATTTTTTAATCAATATTCCAATACATACATATATAAAATATAATTTAAAAATATGAATCGAATAAAAAAAAAAATAAAATTCCGATTTTAAGATCTCGTATTGTTATAAAATTAATATTTCTTTTATTTGAATAAATGTAGGAATTATGTCTAAAAAAAACTGATTATAATAAAACAATTATCTCATAGAAAGCTCTTAAGTTCAACATAAACAAAAATGAGGATTTTAAACAATACCCATTTCAAGCCTTAAGTAAAAGAAAGTATAAGATTTGTCTTTTTATATCATTTAAATACGTTATATTAATACATTAAATACAAGTTTAATACATGAATTGAAAATATGAACAAATTACAATTATATTAAAAAAATAAAAAATACTTATTTATATATTTGAAGATTTTTTCCAGTTATTTTTTATTGACTTAAGGTATTTTATCAATTAGAGAAAAAAATGATAACATTATAACAAAGCATGTGCAAAAATTAACTAGTCTGTTTTCTAATATTGTTGTTTATATATTTTTTAATAATTTTTTTATATTACACAACATAAATTCATTTATTTTTTTTCTTAATACTTATTATATATTATGTATTATCAATATAATTCTTTCAAAAATTTAGAATAATATATTTATGAATAAAAATTATAATTTTTAAATGATTTATAAAGATTGTCACAGATATAACATTAAATCATATATGAGATGTATTATTTAATTTAAAAAAAACAAGCAAGTTACAATAAAGATCAAAAGAATTGGCATACATGATATAATATATGTACAAATTCAAAATTGAAAACATTAGATATTATTTTAATTAAAATCTGATGATTAATTTGATGATTAAAATCTTCATAATACAATAAATTAATAAATATAATAATTTTTTTAAGAATATATTATATCTTTTATTTTTCTTTATCTTGATTCAAGTAAATCTATAATAAACATAATATTAATAAATAAAATTTATTTATTTTTGAAAAAAGTTTTATTAAATCTTTTTTTATCATAAATAAGAGTTTCGTAAAAAATAAAATATAATAATAATAAAATGATAATCATGTAAATCTTATGTTGCTGTGCGAAAATGTTTCTCAGAATAAATTAAATAAATTCGAATTCATCATTTGCATTATATACGCTGAGGAAGAATGAAAATTGACAAATATAAATGTAACTTAATGATACAGGATTGGAGGCTCTGGAAAAAGCTCTTTATTGCTGGGAGGATGCTCTTACAGCGTTCAGCTCTTCACTCAATAATGGTACGCTCGCATTACCGTCTAAGGCGGATGCAGCATTTACGCACGATGTGCAAGAACTTCTCGACATGGGTTATCAAATCCAAAATCATGCAGAACTCCTATTTATCGACCAGGTAAACATATCAATATATATATTATTTTTCTTTTCTTTTAAATTAACAGATTTCTATTATTCTTAAGATTATTATATCATTTAAAATATAAAAAAAATAAAATATATTTATTATAAAATATTTTGGAATTTAATAATAATTATTTAATAATAATTATTTATTATTAATAATTAATATTTATTAATAATAATAATTATTATTTAATAATATTTTTTATTTTAGTAATTTTTATTTATTAGAAATTATTTTAAAAATAAAAATAGTAAGTAATTTAATTTTGATAAATAATAATTGCTTCATTATTTAACTAAGATTTTATAAAATTTTTTCTATTTATTTGAAATCTTTTCTATATCATTTCAATATTTATATATATTATATTTATATTCTCTCCGCTATATTTATCAATTTTTTTTTACTGCATAAAAAATGCAGAAATTAATCCAATTTAAATGATAACTGACCAGAGTAATTAGTGCAATGAGTTACTTGACCTAACAACAAGCAATAAAGAATTATTACATAGGAAGTTTATAACTACTGCTATTTTAATCTAATCTATGTTATATTATATATTATTAAAATGTTGTTACATATATAAATATTAGTTATTTGATATAAAAAATATATATATTTCAATTGGAAATTTTGTTTTATATAATATTTTTTTATATTTTTTATATTATCTAACTATTAATATTGCATAAGCAATTTAAAAATAAGTTGTAGATTAAAAAAATAAATAATTTATTATAAATAATGTTTCAATATTAACAGCATTCAGTATTGTTCCGAAATGAAGATGAGGAAAGTATAGATAGTCATAAACCTTCGAATATAGGTAGCCGAATATCCGGGAAAGATAAAGCAGATGCAGCATCTTCTCCAGAATCTTTCGAATCTGCACGTGATGGAGTAAGTAATTTTTTTGTGTACTTTTTGTTGAATAAAAATAAAAATAATAAAAAATTATTTTTAATATTAATAATATATAAAAATTATTGATATTTATATTAATATAGTATGTACATTAATATATGTAATGTAGGTAGCAGATTTGCGGGAATTTGAAGAATTCTCTGAATTTTTTCCACATTTTGAAAAACAAAAACTATATCATGCTGCTCTTAAGCAACACGAAGACAAAGGTATTCCATGCAGGTAAATAATTTTAAGATATGTTTAAAAATTTATATGATATTATATGATATATGAATTCCTTATAATTTATTATAGACGATTACATACAGAATTGGTGAAATGTGGTTCAGATGTAGAATATTTAGCAAAGGTACATTGCTTACGACAAGCATACACGAAATTATTTACTATATCTTCTGCTGCAGAGTGGATTGCAGATATAGGCCGACAAGTTATTAGTGATTTGATCATGTATGCAGACAGGGTATACACAACATATATATAATATCATTATGTATAATATTATTTATTTCTATCTGAAAAGAACATAAATCTTAAGAGTAGCTTAACTCAGACTTTAATAAATAATTTTTAGTAAATTTTAATGAAAAGTTTTTAATATTAGGATCCTAAGGATTATTTAATACATTATGAACGAATGTTAGAATTCTTACAAGAACAAAATAATCGTAGTATTATGGAGGAAGAACTAACTAGCAGAGGTGTAAAATGTATAAATTTCTACGACGTTCTGATTGATTTTATTTTATTAGATGCCTTTGAAGAAGTTGAAAAACCACCATCATCAATTAAAGCTATTTTACAGAATAGATGGATATCTGCTAGTTTCCGCGAAACTGTAAGTAGAAAAATAAATTTATTTTTAATTTAATTTTTTATTTACTTTTATTTTATGTTTAAGGCAATTGGAACTGCAGTTTGGTCAGTGCTTGTTGGTAAAAGACAAATGTTAAAATATGATAAAGGATTTTTAGCCCATTTTTATTCGATTTCTGAACAAATTTCTCCAGTACTTGTGTGGGGTTTCTTAGGCCCAGAAGGAAGTTTACGTTCTACTTGTCATTATTTCAGAGATCAAGTAATAGAATTTCTTATAGATATATTTAATTTTTTTAAAGTAAGATATACTACTGTTGATAATCTTGCTGAAGA